ACATACGCTGATGCTCTTAGATTCCATCCAGAGAAGAGCCATTCGCCTGGTGGGTGACGCCACACTCACTCACTCTTTGACATCATTGGAACACCGTAGAAAGGTCGGCGACCTTTCACTTTTCTATCGATACTTCCACGGGAAATGTTCTTCGGAAATATCTGCTATCATCCCTTCACTAGCAATACTAATCAGACGAACTAGACAAGCCCAGTGAGCACATCCTATCGTTGTCAACCTCGAAAGATGTCGAACAGCACTTTATCAAGACTCCTTCATCCATAGAACGGCTAGGCTCTGGAATTCATTGCCTGAGGAAGTATTCCCAACAACATTTATAATCTCCAGAAGTTCAAAAAAAACTCCAATACCTACCTCCTGTCCCTATCCTCCCTAGGAACGCACGATGTTCTTTGAACATTATAGGGATACCCTTTCGTGCGCTCCAAGCGATGAAAAGAAAAACCCTATCAAACCCGGTATCGATGAATTCGTTATGACAATCCCTAACCGATTATGGACTACAATACAGGGTGTCCCATTTAAAAATCAAAAGTTGGGGTCGTTTCCAGTAAAACCGGAAGTGATAGAGCAAAAATTGTTTCGTCAATTAATGAGCGATTTGATATACTAGCTGTCCACCAATTTTCAAAACCCTATCTCGAATAATTCAGTTACAGTCCTGGCCGTTTTTTGTGCACTTCTCTGTATGTTAGGTTACAAAACGAATCTACACAATTGCATTCTTTATTTTTCAACTAAAAAATTTACAGGAAAATATGTGACAAGAAATTTCATGATCTTCGAATACTGTCTGAAATATGTTCTAAGAAGAAGAATGTAGGTTCTTCTTCTTCAAACATATGTCAAAGAAGGTGTCACTGACTTACTTATCGATTGAGTTTATCTTTTAGGTTTCAGGTTTCTAATAGAGGACTTTTAAGAGCAGTGACATTGTGAGGCGAATCATCTGATTTGCCCTTACTTAAGTATACTTACTGTATGGAAAAATCCAAAAAAGTTTAAATGAATTTATGACCTTTATCGATCCAATTTTACTGAATTGCGTGTAAAGCATACTAGAAGAGCTTCATCAATAGTGATCAGAAGAAAAAATAACTAGAATACAGTTGTTCGTTGTAACTTGGTATCTTCCTGATATGATCATTTTATGAAAATGGAAATGATCAACATTTCTTGAACAAGTGATGAAAAAATTGCCGCTATAGGACAATAATTACTGCAATGAGGGCTAAAATTTTCAGTCTCACCATTTGGCGTTGCTACACCTTTTCCAATTTCAGTTCCAAAAAGCATCAGTTGATTTCAAAAAGTAACGATTGTATTTCAAATCAGTCATTTTAATCTCAAAAAGTATCAATTAAATTTCAAAATGCGTTTATTGTATTTCAAAATCCATCATTTTAATTTCAATGATTGATGATGACACAATGGGCGTGTACACCTTAGTAGAACTTTTAACTGAAACCATGTTTATAATGATCCTTTTTACATAATGATTGACGACATAATTCGATCGAAAAAATAACTGAAATGTTTTATTTTTGTACATAAATAATAGTACCTTCTGAAAACGGATCCTCTCTTATGACGTAAAAACCTCATCTCGCCATAGTTAAAAGAAAATACCAAACGCCCGACGGAAACTGAGGCAACTGATATATTAATCCTCTCAACTGTGATCTAGCGCTAATTCACTCTGTCAGAAATCATGTATCATTCATCTCTGTCTGGAATAGTATTGTTTCACTAGTAGGGTTTTGACGTCACATCATCGCCTCGTATTCAGAGGTCCGAAAAATCGGGGATTTCAATAATTTTTTATAAAACGTAGGGAGCTCACAGCAAGAAAAGGTTTGCGGTGGTGAGCTAGTTTGGGCGAGTTCTATCGAATTATGAAATCCAACCTTTGCCAGTGTTTTTTCAGTTTTGAAATACAGAAAATGCATTACGAAATACATTTGATATTTTTGAAAATTCAAATAATTATTTTGGATTTTTCAAATGTATGATAAATTGACATTCATCATATGGGACGTGGAAAGAAATTCTGAATTGATAAAAACCTTATCACGAATCTGCGATTGAGGTCTATAAAAATAACAAGTTTCATCTCAATACTCAGTCAGTAGATAGTTGATCAAAAGTTGAGATAGGGACATGTGAGCCGTTTTGACCAATAATGAATAGTTTCGACAAAAAACAATCCTAAAGTTGAAAAATGTCGATTTTTCACACCCTATATCTCTGTAATCATTTCCGCTTGACCCCAAGTGTGCTACATCGATGAAATCAGCTATTCAGAGAATATCTGAAAATGCAATAAAATACAGGGTGTTCCATTTAAAATAACAAAGTTGTTGCTACTTTTCGATAGAAGCGGCAACGCTGCAGAGCTGAAAATATTTTAGATCGATAGACCAAGAGCAACTACGTGAGTAACCAAAATTTCAGAAAGATCCTATGTCCCGTTCTCCATAAACGTCTAACGTACCATCGACCGTGAGTTACCCTGTATATCCTTTTTTTTTGTGTTCATAAATATATCTGAGAATGTTCCTTTTCAAGACTATTTTGGAATTTGAGGTATTAGTTTTTGAAATTGAATTGATAATTTTAAAAAACATTTGATACTTTTTGAAATTAAATTGACTAATTAGAAATACAAATGATGCTCTTTGAAATCCAAATGACTGGAAATACAATTGCCCCTTTTTGTACTAAAATTGGAAATGGTGTAGATGAAGGCTAAGGCATATTTTTCGAAAATTTAATGGAATAACAATGTGGACTATGTGAACAAATATAGGAGCTCACATTATGGTTGAACTTGATCAGTCTTGCGTTTTTAACTCTCAATATGAAACTTTACACGCAAATTTTTACATTAACAGAGATGAAGAAAAAAGCAAAATGAAAAGAAAAGAAGAAGTATTCTTGTCAGTTCCATCAACACTGACCACACGTCTGAGAAGCACAATCTGATGGACAATAATATATTGTTAGCCCTCATTTCAACAACAACAAAAAACTGCTGCTAGAAGTTTGACAGCTGTCACATTCGTTAGTCCCACAACGGCCTTCCGGAGCTCCACACACCACAAAAACAGGAGAGGCTGAAGCACAAGAGCCGTTCCATACCATATACGTATTAATGAACAATATGGATAATCTGTGTCTGTTTCCATAGCGCAAGAGGAAGCCGTTTTTGAAGAAAAATGACTATCCATAAGCATAAGGCGATATATTGCGCATGCTCAAATGCGCAAGTTCAAATGACAGACACATCATCGTGACATCGAACCTCTTAATCTCTGATATGACATTTATGGATTGTTTCGGACTTGAATATTGTTTTATTTCTATTCCAGCCTTTCAAGTAAACCAGAGGTTGTAAATCTCTGTCTTTTTATGCTGAAGCAATTGTACAAAAATTGTTCCCTTTTTATATTTTATTAACAACTGAACTGTCTTTTTATTTACATTCCAGTATTTTACATTATGTATCAGTTTCTGCGTCTGTATACCTACTAGGAGGTACACCTTTGTTCTTTCTTTCGCTTCTGCGGGTCGTAGACATTTTATCCACGGACTGTTCACTTATCCGGCTCGAAGGACCAAATGTTTCGGACTTGAATATTGTTTTATTTCTATTCCAGCCTTTCAAGTAAACCAGAGGTTGTAAATCTCTGTCTTTTTATGCTGAAGCAATTGTACAAAAATTGTTCCCTTTTTATATTTTATTAACAACTGAACTGTCTTTTTATTTACATTCCACCATAACAACATCAACCATATAGTGAGTGTACAAATCAAAATATTATTAGAACAATCTTCATCAACATGGATATTTATGCACAAAGATCTAAAATACCTAATGATATCCTAGTAGGCAATCCAACTGAGGATAGAATCAATTGGGGTCCCTTGATGCAAAATGACGTATTTGTCATCTAACAGGGTACGGACAGATCATAGCTCCTTTCTCTTTTAATCATCTAGTGACTTTGGTTTCGTGTATTGGCGTCCCTGACATGACATTGCTGTCACGTCACATTCATAGGCGTTTGAAGAGATCTTCTAATTTCATACTTGATCTTAATACGACATTATTCAATTCTGTTTTGGAAGGATGGTAAAATGTGCTGCGTTAGGCTGTATCAATCAGTTGGATGGCATTTTTGAATTTGTCACCATCAAATGCAAATGAACTTAGAACATGGAAAGTGAAGTGACCGAATGGGGAAAATTGGTAAATACATACATCATCAAAATATTCGAGGTAAAACTGATACGAAATCACATATTATACTTCAATTAATTCCAACTACTACTACTGTAATTTAGATGGAAAATATACTGTGAAAATTCATAATACCCATCAAACCTCTGCTACTAAACATGTCCACGAAACGTAAACAAAAACAAAAGAATGAATTGACCTTATGAAACGATAAAACACATACTTCTTTGATTCAGAAGCTGGTATACGCCATTGTCTACGATAACGCACCTCTGTGATGATTACTATATTTGCGCATGCGCATCATGTCACCAAATCCTTACGGATAATCATTTGTTTCATATTTTTTAGCTTCAACCCGGCACTTGTTATCCATATTGTTAATTAATACGTATATGTTCCATACCCTTATTGGTCACAATAAAGTCACGTGGAACCACCTAATGAGTGAGCTCATTGCTTGAGGAGAAGAACCATACCGTCTGATTAATCATTCATCGACTATCCCTCCTGCGTCAAAAATCGTATCACGTGATCCATCGTGACCAATAAGGATTAAGGGAGATGGGAAGTCCTTCGATGATTCACCTTCCCGTACGAAACGAAAACAAGTCACATGGATCGACAGCTCGTGGTTATGGTTAGGGTACACTTGAAGCTCGAACACAAAACGTTACCACACATGATTGGGACGCCATTTTGTTTGTGCGTTTATTCGCACAAACCCAAGACGAACCTCTTGAGCAACTCGCGTTGCGTCTTCGAGGGACATCCCGAATAATATAGAGTTGGCACCACGAATGATATCTATACAACGACGTTTGTCTTTTTTTTGGGGTATACTCGGACTGGCAGAACAAGCCATGTGGTACTTGTTCTCCTACAGAAATTTCAAATGGTATACTTGTGTGTTGATTTATGTTATTTATGGAAACGGAAACAACGATTTAGAAACACGGAAATCATATTATACAGAGTGAAACAGCGGAATATCTCACTTCTTGGTCGCCAGAACAAAACGTTAGCGATAATTTTTTGACGGGCTGAAAATATAACTCAATTGTTTTTTTTTTCTTTTCCGCAAATACATTCATTGAGTGAACAGCACTTATCATATTGTAATGAATAGTTGGCAACTCAATTGGAAAGTCATAAGATTTCAAATGAAGTTTTTGGTACCCGTAGATAGTCATGGAAAACTAGCAACAAGTGAGAGTTGCCAACAAATAAATAAACTGAAATAAACAAGTAGGAATCTATCTCCAGATTCTAAAGTGTTTTTACTATGATAAATCTAATGCAAAAGTCGCGCTTTTTTCACTGTTGCATAATTTTTTTTTCCAGAATTGTTGTTTAAATAATAACAATCAATTGTTTATTTCACAATTAATTTTAAGGAACTTCCTACCTTCAGAGCGGATCTCTATCGATCTTCTATTTCAATAAATCAACTCATATACATCAAAATAAGATTAGAGACCAAAATAAGTTTCAATATCCGTACAATACTGTACAAGCATATAGCTAGACCAGTGAATCTTTTAAACCTCAAGGTTATCAGAAGGTTATTCATGTTTATAAGACTTATAAGGTAATATGAGAAAGAAAAATATCTCTTCTGCATGAAAAAGGAAAGTAATTTCAACCTAACTTGTCATAAATGAACCCTTTTCCTGAAAAGTATATTTTTGGAAAACTAATTGAGAGAAAAAAATTTAAAAAAAAATTGACGCCTCGCAGGGATTGAACCCCAGTCACCAACGTGGAAGTCAGATACACATACTACTTTGCTATCGCTTTACTCGTAGTAGTCGTAGTTTCTCAATATAAAGAAGGAAGTAATTTCATGTGTTGTGGGTGACGTCACTTGACCTTGATGTTTGAAAGATTCGCTGGTCTAGCTAGACGCTTGCCAATATTATTAACATGAGATGAAGTCAACTATACAGAACGAGCTAGTTACTCCGGTCCAAATTGACAGAAATTTCGTTTCTGCTAAAATCATTTCGTCAGGAATGAAGATTGGGATTCATGATTGTTTGTTAAGTATAAACATAATATTGTCTTAGTTACCTACATACAGGGTGTCCCGGTGTCCCTAAAAGGCCTATACAAAATCCCAGCACATATTCCTGAGGTCAAAATAAGCGGATTTAAAGAGAATTATCTCTGAAATTACCTCGTTCCCGAGATGTATAGGGTGGTTAAGTTAACAAATGAAAATGTGGAACATACATTCCAAAAAAAGTATTTAAAAAATTACATTCTGAACCGGTAATTCACTGACCAAATTACATCCACAAAGATCACAGCAGACATTTTTTATTCAAAATAATTTAAATATTCCAGTGCAACATCGAACATTAAAAACCAAAATTTCGGATTTTTACAAGGGGCTCTTTTTTGCTTGAAAATGTTCAGAGAATTATTTTCTTGACATTAAACGTGAAAAAAATACAATGACAAAGAAGTTATGGCCAATCTAAACCATTAGAAGAGCATTGGTCACAGTGAAAAGGTGACCGTATTCGGGTTTCCCATCCCGAAAAACCAAAAGCTATCAATTTTCAAAGTAATTCAAAAAAAATTTACATGAATTTTAAAAAACTCGAATTTCATTTTTCAACTTCACCACCCTGTTTCTCGGAAGCGGAATAATTTCGGACTCAGGTAAGTTGCTTTAAATCAGCTTATTTTGACCTCAGGAATATGTACTAAGATTTTGTACATACCTTTTAGGAACACCCTGTACATGCCGTTTATCATGAAGAGTGAAAACAATCAAGTAATTAGTCACTATCATGGTGAGTAATGATATATGAAAAAGTTCATGATGATTCAAGATGAATATAATAATTATAAACTGCAAAAAAATATTAGTTGAACACATAACATTTGTTACATAAACAAGCTTGAATAGATATAGAGATATTCAATTAATAATTTAACAGTGTAGAGGAACTGTAAAGGAATGAGAATTGAGTTAGTATAAGAAGGTGGCCAAAACTGGTACTAAGGCCATCAAATTGACACAAAACATGTGTCAAACAGATGTTTGCTTATGTAGACTTGTTTTCAGTAGTTTGTCATCTTTGTCTCAGGTCACATTTTAGTCCAGGGATCCTTAAATGGCTTATTCCTTCTCATACTAACTATCAGGTAGGAATCAATAAAATTCTTCAAGATTTGACCATACTAGAAGTACTATACTAGAGCTCTAGTGCCATAGAACATACAGGGTGTCTGTAAAAGGTCTTTACAAAAACATACCACATATTCCCTACACCGAAATAAGTCGATTTAAGTAAAATTACCTCTGTACAAAGTTGCATCGTTTGGGCTCCAGAGGGCCTTGAAGTTACAAGTTTTAAATCGTTTTTCCCATATAAATTTAAAACGGCATATGCGATTTTGCTGAAATTGGTATATTGATAGAGTTTTATGTGGCAAAAAAAAATGGTGTTGAAATTTTGTCCGATAATAATACAAAGGCGTAGAACTTGATTTTTTAAATAATTGCACCTTTAAAAATTCTACGCCAATGGAAGAAAAGGAGTTTGAGTATGAAATGCACAACTCATTTACTTTAAAAAAGGTACTCTTGATAAGACTCGATTGCTCTCATGGTTTTGACGAAATTTTAATAATTTTAGAACATAAAAAACAATAATTATTAAAAACCATGAGAGTAAATCGAGTGTTATCAAGGTTACTTTTTTGTAGTAAATGAGTACCCAATCCAAATTTCATACTCAAACCCCTTTTCTGCCATTGGCGTAGAATTTTTAAAGGTGCAATTATTTAAAAAATCAAGTTCTACGCCTATGTATTATTATCGGACAAAATTCTAACACCATTTTTTTTGCCACATAAAACTCTATCAATATACCAAATTTCAGCAAAATCGCATATACCGTTTTGAATTTATATAGGAAAAACGATTTTAAAATTGTAACTTCAAGGCCCTCTGGAGCCCAAACGATGCAACTTTGTACTGAGGTAATTTTAGTTAAATCAACTCATTTTGGTTTAGGGAATATGTGTTATGTTTTTGTAAAGACCTTTCACAGACACCCTGTATAATTTTAAGTCAGGAGTATTTTTGAAGAAGAAAATTCCAACCATTTTTATTCATTCAGGTAGATGCAGGCATAAATTTATAAATAATATAATAATAATGATAAACATTACAACTAGAAGAGCAGATGCATTGAGTACCTACTAATGGTAGAATCCAACATATTATTAATTGTTTTCTTTGATAAATATATGCATTTGTTATAGATAATCATTAACCCCAAAATAAAATTAATGTGAAACGCCCATGTTTAAATTGTCCTTTGCCATCGTTTGACAGAAGTGACAGTGACAGTGAAAACATTTTGAGATATTCGAGACACGGGGCTGTTCCGTGCTTTTGCTCTCTTCATGCCAAGAGAGAGATAAACGAGATGTACAAAAAGAGTAAGCCAAAATAAATAAATTTGTTTTTGTAATTCTTTTTATTCCGTTTTATTCTCCAACATGTTTCAAGAGGTAAGAATAATTTAGGAAAATGAAATATAATTCAGATCACTTCATAAGTAAGATATTCAAATCAAAATAAATAGTTATAAACAAAAACTATAACATGGCGCCCAACCGTGGGGCATGTTGGAGAATAAAAAGGAATAAAAAGAATACAAAAACAAATTTATTTATTTTGGCTTACCCTTTTTGTACATCTCGTTCATCTCTCTCTCGGCAGGAAGAGAGCAAAAGCACAGAACAACCCCGTGTCTGGAATATGTTTTCACTGTCACTGTCACTTCTGTCAAACGATGGCAAAGGACATGAACATGGGCGTTTCACATTAATTTTATTTTGGGGTTAATGATTATCTATAACACATTAACATCAAATTCACTTCTTCTGATTGTTTTCAGATATTTATTTTTTTGTGGAATTCTTCTCTTTTTTTATACTTGGGAATCTATATTATTTGAAAGAGCTAGAATCATTCATGAGAATGGTGAAATTATATACACAAATGAGAATTGAAGGTACCACAACCAAAGCATAATCTAACATAATTACCTGGGTTTTCAGTTGATCTTTCAACCAAGTCAGATAGAAGTGCAAATCTGACCTTTCCATGGGTGTATGAGACCAACAAGCAATTTTAGCAATTATTCTAGAGGTCATATTGGTAATAAAACCATCCTGACGATTCAGTAGGTTCAAGAATGGACCCCAAACTGATTCTTTCTTTACATTAGCATACTCATGAAAAATCTCAACACGGGTACGGTTTTCCTGAAATGAAAGAAGTAATCAAGTACTCAACAAATAGGTTTTCATTTACTACAACTTCTATCTAATTTGATCTACTTGTAAATAAGATAATGAATTAATCTTTTGACCTTTTCTGGAGACAAATATTATCAAATTGACTGAGATAGTTGATAAACAATTTTTTTCAGAAAGAAGAAAACCTCATTCATACATATGAATTCCATGATATCATCTAGAAGTTTCAGCAAAAACTCAGGAAGTAGCTGAAAATGTTCTTTGTGAAATTCTACTTCATACCTGTAACATATCATCCAAAAGGACCAATATATACTGCAATGTTTGATCTTTGGAAACATGCCCCAACAAGTTGAGGAAAGTTTGAGCACACTGATGGCGTTCACTGTGCAAAAGTGACTCTCTCTTTGCACTATTCTGTACATCAAAAGCCACAATAAAATTGAAATCTTCTTGAGAAATCATCTGGGATCTAAAAAAAAAACACAATACATCAATGTTTCCCAGAAAAACTAAAAAAATCATAAAATTAGCCAGCATATTATCCAAAATAAACTATTAGTAATCCTCAATTTATATTTGATTTAATGGGTTTAAAATAGACCATGAAGTTTCATTATTATTTATTATTTATTATTCATTATAATTTATAATAAAAAATAGTAAACTTACTGGAAATAGGACTGCCAATTCACATGTTGACTTCTTATATCAGTAGCCCTTTGCTGTAGAACACTAGTAGCAGCCAACATATCTGGAATACCCATTTGATATGATGAAATTTCAACACAATTTGGACTTTTATTTATAGTTCTCTATCCGAAAATAAATTGAGATAAATAAATGTTTGGGGGTCACTGGTTTGAAAAATAATTAGGAAGTGCCTAAAACCACGATTTGTGACAATGCCTACTGCTCATTTCCAAAATTGATCGTCAACTGGAAATAATCCCTACAATTTTTTCAAATTATATTTCAATTTGAAAATATGTAGATCAAAACTTCAGCTACAAGAAAAACAGATTTGATTTCTTTTGGAAAAGAGGGAATTTACGGCCAGGGGTCGTGGCTTTAGACACAAATGAATATTTTGTTTTTGTTTGTCTTGTCACATCTTGTCTGCAATCACGTGAAACTTCGAAAACGCCTATTTTTTCAAGATACTATTCAAGTTTCACAAAATATAAACCAATAATTATTTCATACTGATTAACATTAGGAAATTTATATTCTCGAGAACAAAATTAAAAAACCTGTTTAACAAAATTTATCTACATGGTATTTTCATCAAGAGGCTTTAAAATGAATGCCAGAGAGGTATGTACTCACCAATTTTATCATCATCCAAAGAAGTAATGATATCTTGCAATTTTGGATCTGCTCCAGAAGCAAGATTTGATGCCATTTTGGTAGTTTATTCCGCTAACAGCACTAACAACAATTTTTTAGAAAAACTTCTTCAAACTACTTCACTCCTGTAACCTGTAATGCCAGTTGCCAGCTGACCCAGTCTTGTGATTATTGACATAATGTCTACCAACACAAAACCTTGTCATTCTCTAGATTTGTAACTGAAAAGACAAAGACAGTACATATCTTTATGTTGGTTGCTTTGTAAACAACCCGCGAAGTTTAAACATGGAGTTGATGGAACCCAAAAAGAAGAAATACTGTAAACTCCCGAAAAAAGTTTCCTTACCGATAACTTTGAAGAAAGATGGCACAATTCATAAGATACAAGGCATCTTCAATGGTTTTTCTGTGACTGTCAATGATGAAGAAGATATGAAGAACATTATTTCCATGGGATACTTTGGAAAAGCTAATTTATCCAGAAATTATCCACAATTCAGCAGCAACAGCAAAGTTGAGATTCTAAGATATAGACAATATGAAAGAAGAAAACACTGGGGCACAAAAGGAGATAATGGAGCTTTGAAAAAAGTGATAGTGGTGCCTGATTCAGATTCTGATGATGACTTCTTTACAAATTTGAAGCCACAGTACCAAATAGACAAGTCTGGAATTAGAGAAAGTGTTTGGCTTAGCTTAGAAGAAGCCTTTTTTCTTTTACATTCTGTGGGATGTTTGGACATAAGGGAAGGAAATGATTACTTGAATGCAAGTGACTGTTGGAAGTTATTTTCTGAAACAGATGCACAGTTCAAATATAATTACATTGTGTACTACTACTTCAGAGCTAAAAACTGGGTGGTTAAGCCTGGTATCAAATTTGGAGGAGACTACTGTAAGTATTCATCTTTCATTTTACAACTGACTCAACTATTGATAGGTTGCTCAATTTTTTAATTAATTTTTAGTGTTATATAAGCAAGGCCCACCATTCTACCATGCATCTTATGTTGTCATAATTGAAATTCTGGATGACTGTCACAGTAAAATAGAAGACTTATGTAGAAGATCAATGGATAAAGTGTCTGTTATGAGTTTAAATAGGTTGTGTGAAACAGGAGGTAAAGAACTGATGATATGTGAAATTATACTAAATAAAAATGAAGACATTCATTATGAAACCCTTGATAAGATAAGGATAAATGAAATTTTAGTAAAAAGGTGGATAATAACACATGATCTTCCATGAAATATTTATATTTTGTTCTTGATTTATACATATGCTTAGCTTAGAAATCTGTTCTGGTGTTGTACATTTTCCAAAACAATATAACTTTATAGTAGCACAGTTCAGTTCTTGGTGTGAATATTTTATTCAGCAATAGGTATCCCAGATAATCATGATCATAAGTGTATAACATCAGCCAATACTCTATTATCTTAGGAAACAGTTTAAAAGTACCTCTACATTTCTACAGTGACCAAAACAAACCTTGAATCATATCACATAGATGAAGCAAGTCTCTGTTTTTCTTTTAAGGTAACACCAGTCTTTCTATACTCTGATCTCTCTGCCAAATATTCCTTCTTGCACTTTTCTTTGAAACCATCATCATTATACCATTTTGTTAAACAGTCTTTCAGAGTGGAGTTCTGTTCCCTACATTTTACAACTAACAATACACCATTATTTTTACAGCATTCTCCAAAATCTTCAACTTCTTTGAAGCATTTTTCAGTTTTTGCTAGTTCACGCATTTTCTTTGGAATCAGCACCTCCAGTTCTACTTTTCTGAGTGATAAATCATCTGGATCACCTATGAGATTTTTAAAGAAAATTAATGATATTTGATATTTAATAGAAATACATACCTAATCCATGTGGTCCACTAGTATATTTTTCATATACACTTTTTTTATTACTCATTTTCAGGAATAAAATACTTAAATAAAATAAAAATACATGTACTTTTTTTCCTTCTCTTCTTGAAAATTCTCAAAAGTTCACAAAATTTATCAAAGTTTCTGATAATTATGTTGCGATTAAGATTTTGACTTGACATTTTTGAAATGAAATTGACTTTTTTTTACAATGATCAGGTTGAGTCACTGGTGGTCACTGTCAAAAAACCTTTAATATCTGAGACCAACAAAAGGAGAAGAAGACGAAGGACGAAATTATCTTGTCAAGTGTCAAAAAACTTTTGTATTGTCATTTTTGTTTTCTTCTGCTGAGTGGTGCTGAGGTGATTTGCAAATTTCGTAAGTATTTTTTTTTATTTCTCAATTAAAATTTTTGGAGCACAATTTCATTCACTTGCTTTGCAGTTAAAAATGGAGTCTATTGCTACCGATTCTGGAAAAATCGTCAAAATGGAAGTAGACTATAGCGTTACTTGTGATGAAAAGATACCAGAATGTCAGAAACTGGCAAAATCTGGAAAACTGCATGATGCTCTTGATCAACTTTTGGCTCTGGAAAAACAAACAAGAACAGGGGCAGATATGCTTTCTACCGGTAGAGTTCTGGTCGCAATATGTCAGATTTGCAGAGAAGCTAAAAATTGGGCAGCTCTCAATGAACATATCATCTTGTTGACAAAAAGAAGGTCCCAGCTGAAACAGGCTGTAGCTAAAATGGTCCAGGAATGTTGCATTTATGTTGATGAGACTCCTGACAAAGAGAGCAAAATAAAACTCATTGATACATTGAGGTAATTACAGCTTAAAGGGCTATTTCATAAAATTCAAATATATTCTTTATGTATTTCATTTAGGCAAGTCACAGAAGGGAAGATATATGTTGAAGTTGAGAGAGCACGTTTGACACACAAACTAGCTAAAATCAGGGAAGAAGAAGGTAACATTCAAGAAGCAGCAAATATCATACAGGAGTTGCAGGTTGAGACCTATGGATCAATGGAGAAGCGTGAAAAAGTTGAACTCATTTTGGAACAGATGAGACTATGTTTGGCAAAGCAGGATTATATAAGAACACAAATCATATCTAAGAAAATCAATACCAAATTTTTTGAAGATGAACGTAAGTACAGTCACTTCCTGAATGCTCTTAGTACTTTGAGTGTTCTCTGAAATATGATCAACCAGTATATATTCCACTTTAATTTCAGTTGCTTCTGACTTGAAATTGAAATATTATCGCCTTATGATGGATGTTGATGAGCATGAAGGCTCTTATTTGGCAACCTGTAAGCATTATAGGGCTGTACTAAATACTCCCAGTATAATGGCTGTGTCAGAAGAAAGACAAGCTGCAGCTCAAGCAGTTGTTTTGTATCTCATTTTGGCCCAACATGATAATGAACAAGTGGGTAAAATTATTTTTTCCAAGCTATATTTCATTTCAAGATGGTTTTATTTTCATTCCTATCATCAATTTCAAAGCATCTAGCTTTGTCTCTATCTAAAGTGGAATTTAATATAATTTAGGTAGATTTGACACACAGGGTGTTGGCAGATAAGGTGCTGGAAGAGATTCCACTATACAAACAGCTTTTGAAATTATTCACCACCCCAGAATTGATAAAATGGTCTGGTCTGTGTGAGTTGTATGAAAAACAGTTGAAAACTTCTCAAGTTTTCTCTGGCAGTGAACAATCAGCTAAAAGATGGAAAGACCTGAAGTAAGTAACTGAGTACCTAAATTATTCTACTAACAACACTAACAAGTAAAATGTTGATGTCAAATTTGGCCTTAGTTGGCAAAACTCAGCAAAATATAACCAATTTCTTTATACCCTCCAGTCCATTTATCTGCAAGTTCCTGAACTATCTAGGAATATCCTTCCTTCTGAAGCAAGAAAATAACTAACTTTGATATTCTGACTTTTGAAAGATGAAAATATTTTAATCCGGCCCTGATCACAGTTGAAAGAATTATTAGGCGTTTTTCATTCACATTAACCAACATGGTTGAAGTTGATAATCCCATTTCATTGTGTTTTCCCTCCCCTATCTGCCCCAGCTTCACCAACCCAATCCTTGGTTATGTTGGTTGATGTCAAAAGTGTTGTGTCATAGATGGGAAATATTCATGATTTATGATTGGGTTTGCAAAACTCTATAACTGTGAAACAAAAAAAAATGTAAAATTTCATCCAAACATTTAAATTAGAAATCAATTTTCCCTAACAAGAGTGACCAAAAATATGTGAAAGAAATAGGATCATTGGAAACGGTTGATGTTGACGTCATTATGACGTAGCTGTCCCCCACCACCTTACCCAAAATACTTCAACTGGGTTCAACAGGGTATGTGAATGTAAAACCCTAATTATTATACCAGTTAGGCAGTTACCTCAGTATCCCTCAGGCCTTTGATATTTCAAGATCAAAACTGTGCTGGTGACAGCTGCACTCATTTGATTTACTGCTCTCCACTGCTGAAGTCAAATTCAGTAAGAATTCATTGATGTCACCTATACAATTTGCACCATCAGCAGTATGAAAATACCTTGGTGCAAATATATTTACTTCCCATTTTGATACAAAATTGATCACAAACCATTGAAATTCATCGGAGATACAGTGTACACTGCACTATCAAAAAATAATGCCATTCAATTTCCTGGGCGACCGGATACAATTAATGGCGGTCGGCATACTGCTAGCAGTCTGCCCGGGCAGACGGGACAAGAAGAATGATGTTTTGAACTTCTGGGAGAGTGCAGGAACTGATACCTATATCAATTCTTTCAACTGTGCCCAGATGCCATGTTACTTCTTGCATAAAACATCAAAAATATTAATAAACTGAATATATTCTTCATTACCCATCTCTACTCTTTGCTACTTGAATAAAAGTATTTCACCTTGTTGCTCATAGAAACAGCCACCTGGCACCTACTGAATTGGATAATTTCTTGCTTCATGACTCATAATGATGGTTCATTTTGTTAGTGTAAATTAGAGTTCCTAAATGTACTTGACACTGCTGTTTTGACGTTTTTTTTTATATATATTAGAGTACGGACAATAGACAAGCAGTGATAATCAAACATAACCACAAACGATTTTGAAGCAAATCATATGTTTTGCCAGACAAGGACAAGAATATGTTTCATGCTTACATTGAATTCCATTCCTAACCTGGTGGTGCACTGGTTTTGCACCCGCACTACGTTAGTTCTCTCCAAAATGTGAACTGGTGCATCCCCAATGGAATAGGAAATAATATTATAATAAAATTATTGTTGGAGGTTAAATCAGATAAGTTGGTTTGTCTTTGTTCATAACTTGTCCGCATCCTGAAATTCATTCTTATCTTCAATAAAAAACACAGTAAATGTTTCATGGAAATAATTTTGAGTACTTTTTTTGATGAGTACTCTTGAAACCACCAACTATTCATCACTATTTGATGATGATAATTGAATTGCCACTAACAATTTGGTTTTCAAACTATTCATATTCAATGTTTCCGTCATTTTCAAAACTGCACTGACTTCGCACGACCTATTAGAGCTTGTGCGAGAATTGTTGCACTGAGCTCTAAACTATGTGAACCAGTTTTCCAATGGAATTCAAAACCCGACACCAGTTTTTCCAATGGAATACAAAATATGCACTCAGTGCGCCAGTTTAACCTATGGAATTCTCTATTAGATAAAGGATCCTCGCATCTTCCTTCCTCCACAAGTCCTGGGAAGAGTACATCCATATATCTTTCTCTGTCTTTGATTTTTGTATGAGAGTGCATAGAGTCACTGGATGGTATTAGTTTGATAAGAGTTCGGACACAGCTGAACTTTTGTCCTTTTCTATAATACAATGGTTTAAGTGAATAAAAGAATAAGACATATATTCTGCTCTTTGTCTTTTCAATTTCCCTAGAAGCGCCTGATTGTCAAATACGATTTTAGAGGTTATATTTTCTGTCAAATCAATCATAGCCGTAGATGGACAATGGATATAGGGTACAAACACCCACTTCAATTTATAGTGATACACTTATTCTAGCAGAACAACTGTTATATAAATGAGAAGAATGCATGTACCAACGTTTTAATATTAGAAAATATACACATATGGATAAACTTATAGCTATAAATCCTTATTGTATGTCAAACTGTACTCCAGTGATAAGTATAAAACATGAAGTTGTTAATATTTAATTGAAGGTAGGTATTCTCAATATACAGGAAGTAACATAAATACGTTCAAGTGAAGTATTCCTCAGACAATTCTAAGAAAAAAAGTATATAAGCTTGTGTCCAGAAAATTTCGGAGATACAGGATGTTGAAACACAGAGAACAAATCATTTTTCGATAAACATTTCCTTGGAAAAAAGTAGGTTATTTTGATGAGACCTACCAAATGCACTTTTCTGTAAAGTTCTCAGCAACTCCACTTAGCGCCTTAGGAGCTAAGCATCTAAGTAACATGGATCGATATACCAAATACATTTTTCTGAAAAGTTCTCAGCAGCTTCACTTAGCGCCCTAGGAGCTAAGCATCTAAGTAACATGGATCGATATAGAAAATATCTCCAAAACGATAACCTCCAGCGTTCCCTTGATACATAAATAATTATTCACTTGTCACTGTTGAATTTTGAATTTGATCGGCACCAAAAACGCCATTCAATAATATATCACGTTGTAGTTTCCTTGCTTTTCTTAATTTTGTTTTCAAATTTCCAATTTCATTATGTAATTTTACGGTCATTTCCTCTTTCCATGATTATTTTGTTCTGTATTTTGTTTGATGATAATAATGAAATTTTGAAATCGTCTGCTTTGTAAATTGATGGAATAGCAGATTCTCTCAAAACGAATTTGGAAATCTTCTGTTCGAAACTGGACCTAAAATATAGTTTCATTCTGTGATCAGATGCTGTTATAAGAAGCTAATTTTAATGAGTACCTCACAAATTTCGCTCGTCTTGAAATTGATTTTCCACCCAGGCCGTTTCATATCTTCCTTCCATGAGCTAATGGTTGATATTTGTTTTGGAAAATTGAATAAATGATATCCATTTTCATCAGATTTGGCACTATTTATTACACAGCAAAGTGATTTCCATAGCTGCTTTTTTCTCGAAAGTATAATTATTTCAAATCTGACGTTCATCAAATTTACTGTCAAATTCAAACAATTTTGAATAAAAAGCGCGGGACGACTATGGTGCTATTGTCACAATGCAAGGTGTGTAACTTAATGAATCTAAACATTCAAAAACCCTAACAGTTGTCATTTCTGTGTCCGAACTCTTATCAAACTAATACCATCCAGTGACTCTAAGAGTGCATAGCGTCTCCAGTGGGTAAAACCGTACTATAAATTGATTAGAAAATTATTTCTTCTCGAAATATTGAATGATAAGGCTGAAGGACCCCAATGGAGGTCAATATCAAGTTGGTATGGCATGGTAAACGAAATACATATACTATCCTATTCTTCAACATCAAATCTTTCGTTCTGAAGTGTACCTGATGAAAATGCGTTGAAAAATGTTTTATATTCTACCAAGAAATGCGAATACCTCGCAAATTTTGTGGCCTGAACCTATATTCCAGGCCGGCCGCATCATATTCTGTTTCCATTTTTGTAGAATTGATTTCTCGTGTTCTCACAGTTGGAAACTGCACAAACTTGCATCTTTCTCCTAATTCATTGCCAAGGAAGGTGTTCCCTGAGGCATCATTTCTACCTTATTTCCCTTGGTTCTCACGATGTTCTCTGAATCAGAACCAGAACATACTGAACATAAAAAAAAATTCTCTCAATTTGTCAAACCTTTGAAATTTATGTCATGTACGTCCGTGTACTGTCAGTTCTCGCTTTTTCCATCAATTTATTTGTGGTTATGTCTGATTGTCAGTGTTTGTCATAGTGTCCGTACTCTGTACTCTAATATACAAAAAACGTCAAAACAGCAGTGTCAAGTACATTTAGGAACTCTAGTCAAGGCTGACGATCAAAATCGCCAGGGGCCGTATTCTCGACAAGTGAGCTTTTTGTCGTATACGCATCAAAACGAATGGTTCATGTGCGAGTACTTTTTCGAAGTGGTATTCTTGACGACCATTCGCTTCGCAAAACGTATACGCTTGAAAACGTGCGATCGTGATGCGATCAGAGCATCCGGCACCAATGTAATATTTCACGAAAGTCATGAAATGGTCCGTTGATTCACGTTCTGGGAATATGTGAAAAATTCCGCGCGAAGAATAAAATTGTTTAGATATTTTTTATAATGCATATGCTGTGTTGAATGAATCAAATCAATCTGAAAATTATTCACAGATGAAGTGGAAATGAATAATTTGATCAAAAATAATATGATATATAAACATGATATACTATTCTTCATTCACATCAGTTATTATTTACACGTAATAATCCAGTAAATAGAGATTCATTAGATTAGAAAAACATAAATATACAGCAATAAATAATAATAAATTAATGATAATGTATAATAATCAATTATCCAGCATCATGTAATCTCCTCAGCATTGTTTGGACATTTGAACTATTCCATATAAAAGCATCATTTGTATTACCAGGAAACCGAATTCTTTAGCAGATTCAACTGGTAAATATTGGCAGGAAATTTATAAGGAATCTTCAGAAAATTTCAACTTTGTTCCAGAACCTCAACGATTTTGTTCACACGTCTAGAAACATAAGACTGGGACACATTGAAATTGCAGCTCATGTGTATTTGGTAACATTCTCATGCAAAAAACCGTAAGGAAACTAACACAGTGAACAGCATAATGTGTATCACCTCTGTGATAGTTGGGTACCAACTCTTGTGGAGATATCCAAATCTTGAGCACGATGTGCAGGTCATGTAATAAAATCAGAGGTAATATTCATTAGGCATTGAACCTATTCTTTGGAGGCGAAACATTTTGATAAATTGGTTGTAACCGAAATCATCAGAGTGATTTCCACGCTACTGCATCTTCGCCAATCTATTTGTTCCGCATCTTCCATCACGTCAATCAACATCAACTGTACAAATTTTCCTTCCTTTATATTTTGATGTTATTTACTATTCATTCAGATGATATGAATTTCAAAACAGATTCATTAGAGTCCATAATGGTTCTCCAATATAAATAATAAACAATAAAAATATTCAATGACACACGTCACAAGTCAACAAAACGAACGAAAAGATACAAAACGAGTGAAATGAAGCGCTCGATGTGAGATGCCTGCTCGATGTAAACGCTCGCTTTGAAAACGTACACGCTTCCTATTTCACTGGTCAAGAATACCAAAACGTACGAAACTGTCGATGTGCGCATACGCATCAAAAGTTCACTCGTCGAGAATACGGCCCCAGATCAGTTGAAAACACGCCCTTCGTTCTGCTGTAGGTCCAGAGTGGTGGAGCACAACATCCGCGTGATGGCCAAATATTACACCCGCATCAGGATCAACCGCATCGCCGAATTGTTGGACCTTTCGCCGGCAGAAACCGAAGAATTCCTCTCGCAGATGGTCGTCAGCAAGACGATCCAAGCCAAGACCGACAGGCCGAACGGCGTCGTGCATTTCCAACAGAGTAAAGACCCCAGCGACGTCCTCAACGATTGGGCGCACGATTTGACGCAGCTGATGCAGTTCGTCAACAAGATCACGCATCTGATCAACAAGGAAGAGTGCGTTCACAAGAACCTTCAGGCTGCTGCTTGAGAGGGAAATATAATTGATTTATGTGAATTAATTCTTTTCTATTGAAATATAATTTAGTTGTATGGATCCCAAACATTTATTTGAATTCCTCTGCCACTTATATCTGTACTCGTTTGTCGTAGGGTCCCTTGATAGAAATTGACGTTGATGACAAATACGTCAGTTTGCATCAAGGGACCCTAGTTTGTCGAATACTCGTACGCATCTGTCTTCCACAGAACTAAGCTGTCTTCTATACGTAGTCATCTGTCATTTATCCGGGATACTATCGTTTGTCGAAGATTCAAATATTCACTGGCGAATCCACTGACATGAATCACTATCTAGAACGCTAATGGTCATATCATAGCAACCCGAAAAGATAACCTGGAGAATGGCTCGCTTGAAAACGCTTCTGCTCAATGCGCAGGCACTAAAAACTATCGTTCAGTGAAACATATGAGGGAGTAAGACATATGGAAGGTTCTGATTCGTGTTCGCTAGGGTCCCTTTATGTAAATTGACGTATTTGTCATCTTAACAGGGTACGGACAGATCCTCGTTTCCTATCACCGTTGATTGATATATTACGCTTACGCTGGGAAGATGCCCAACCTTATGGGGCAAAACGAGGTCCAAAAAAATCTCACAACTAGATGGCGTACCATAGTTCGAAATCTCACATAGTGGCGGCGATAGTGTCGAACGATGTCGGAGCAATACTTCGTAATTTGACGGGCAGGTGCGCCACTTACGAAGAGAATCTATTGGAATGCAGATGGCGTGCGACTTGGAACAATTAAACAATCCATAATCCGGAACGCTTGTATCGAATCCATGATCAATCAGTACGATTCTAACTAATATGGCGGTAAATTCGAATTTGTTAGTAATAGTTGTATTTCTTTTATTCGTCTGAGGCTTCTAACTAGCGCATCACGGACGTGAGATCATGAAAAAAGTTTATAGAAATCGAATTGGAGTGAATCACAAAATTTAATGTCTCAACAATAAATGCTTCCATTTTTGGCGATTGTGGAATAAACTGGTCAGCGGATATCAATATATAAGCTGCTCATAAATTTGATTGAAATTCACGAACCCGGACCAGTGTTGTCACCTTAGTGTATTCTTCCCTAGAACTGAATCTAAATGGGTCTGTTTGAGTGGAATTTCATATTTCATTATGTCGAATTACTAAATCAAACTATAATTCACTGTCGCAAATCATTTTCTTGTCAGAGCTATGTACAATTTTTGAAATTTTTATTATTGGAATTACTGAAATTTATCACATGAAAAACGCGGAACATTGCGTGACAATTCTATGCCGCTATCAATCCAAAGTATTTTATACTGGTATGTGATCCGACCTATGTACTGCCGAAACGAGTGCCAATAATTTCTTTTGATTTTTGTGGGGCGGCCGACTCGGTGCGTTTGTCGGCGATAGAGGGCTGCCAAGCCGTCCTTTGTCGCCCTAACAACACAAGTACATCCTAGGGACTTCCCAGGGACGTCCCTAATTTTATACAAGGACATCCCAGAGATATCATTTGTCGGGACAGATTACATACTAGGGACGTCCCAGGGACATCAGCTGGCTGACAAAAAAAGCATCCAAGGGATTTCCGTCTGGTACGTCCCTGGGATGTGCCAAGTACGAAGAAAGGATATCCCTAAGAGGTCCCAAGGATATTCCAGGGACATCCCTTCGACAAAAGAAAAAAATGTAGGTCGAGTAGGGCTGGAACCCGGGACCTTTAGCTTTTTCAGGCACGCACCTTACTCCATTATTGGCTGATATGCCTTCTGAAGATTTATGTACCAAACAGATTTTTAAACAGGACCAAACTGCAGAAACCTGAATAAATACAACTTTGTCAGGATTTGGGTATAATTATAATCATTCGTGGATGTTTAAAAATGAGGGGCATTATGCATTTACGATTTCTGTTTGCGAAAAATAGTCATTTCTTGAGAAGTTCTGACTTTCTTTATTTTCATTACAATTATTTACCTGAAAAAAAACCAAAAATTTTCATAAAAATTCAACTCAATATTTTGATGAAAGTCAATGACTCTGATGTGAATAGATATCAGATATACCAAGGACACGAATTGGATAACCTATGGATGTGCGGGACATTCCCTGGATACCCCAATTATGTCCTTGTACCGTGTGACAAAGAGGGGAACTACCTATAGTACATCCCTGTGTTGTTAGGGCGGAGATTCTGAGCGTTCCGTAGTCTGTACTCCGTTGTTCTGGAGCGGCAAAATCGATTCTACTCAGAAAAAGTTACTGGTATCACAAAATATCAACGCCGATTTCATGATTATATTATATCGTGGCATATAGACTGGAAATGTAGCTGTTAATTTTCTGTTGATTTTGTTTTTATCTCTTCAAATATACCAAAAAAGAATTCATATTTTTCAACAACTAGATACTTACTGTAAAAAATGATTCATAAGCTTGCAGCATCAACTCTTGTAATCCAATAAATAAATGAATTCTATATAATATGTTCCAATAGTTATGACTCACTCTGTATATTATGCCTATTATAGATGATGTATTTTATTCCATTTTCATAGTGAACCATTAACAATCAAAGATTCAAAGATATCTGACTATTTATTTTCGATCTACTGATGCACAGCTGATGAGACTCTAAGAAATTATCACATTCAGATTGATTATATTATCAATATTTTGTCGAAAAAGGCGTGAGACGTTTTTCCAGATAATATACAAATTATATTGGTCTAGGGTCTAGGCAAAGTATGACAAGTTATTCACAAGGGAATTTAAAAAAACGCCACGGAGTAGGAACCCAACTGAGTGAGAGATCATAATATGTTCTTCTCTCTTCCGCAACGAACCGAGGAAAAAATCAATACTGTCCATGGGATTCACCGACCGTAGCAAACATTTTTTTATCGGAACCGGTCGGGCGGGTCGGGTCTCATCGTAGAAGACAAGGATAAACAAAAATTTCTGGAGCGATAGCACGCGGTGGGATGGGATCTGTAATTCTGTACAAAAGTGTAGTAATCTGTACAATTAGTTCAGACATGTTCTGTGTGCCTAGTGGAGTCGCTACTTCACAGTGGCTAAACGATAGACGAGGGGATGAGAGGGGCATCGACTCGCAAATAACACAGGTTGGGCATCTTCCCAGCGTAAGCGTAATATATCAATCAACGCTATCACCCTAAAGTGTTTGTGAAACAGTTATATAGTTCCATCTTTATTCATTTCTGGGGATAAACACTAGATTTCTGACATTTGTTTTTTAGGTTATATTGAAGTCATTGGCGTATCATATGTAATTTCTCATTTAACTCTACATATTATATCCAAATGATGATGAGTTTTTGATTTTTCAACTCCAGCATAATCTTTGTGAGGCAGTGAGCAAATTTTTCACGCTAAAAGCCTTATGGTTGAGAAATGGTGAAAAATTGTATGTAGGTATTCAAACTAATGTGCTCATATGTCATGTGTGCTGTATATATTCATGTTATGGGAATCATTTTTGCAGTTTTTCATGAACACTTAATATTTCCTGAATTATATTTTTTTGAATGGTAGGGCATATGCCTCTTATTTTAATCTTCCGTTTTTATCAAAACTGTTTCTACTAAAATTCATTCAAAAACTTGTGGAGTGGATAATTATATGCACAATGAGAAAGTATATGTATAATATATTAATATGTGATTTCGAATTAGTTTTACCTCGAATATTTTGCTGGCGTATTCACCAATTTTCTCCATTCGGTCACTTCACTTTCCATGTTCTAAGTTCATTTGCATTTGATGGAAAGCTGGCAAATTCAAATTTGCCATCCAACTGATTGATACAGCCTACGCAGCACATTTTACCATCCTTCCAAAACAGAATTGAATAATGTCGTGTTAAGATAAGGTATGAAATTAAAATTTTGTAAGATCTCTTTTAACGCCTATGAATGTGACGTGACAGCAATGTCATGTCAGGGACGCCAATATCCACCTTTCACGAAACCAAAGTAGCTAGATGATTTTTAAAGAGAAAGTAGCAATGCTCTGTCCGTACTCTGTTAGATGACAAATACCTCAGTTTTCAGTTTACATCAAAGGATCCTAGTGTTCGCCAGTTTCATCTCGTGAGTGCCATATCCTTTTTTATGGTATTTATATAACGGTCTAAAGACCCCAGCGACGTCCTCAAGCATTGAGGCACAATTTGACGCAGCTGTTGCAGTTCCTCAACAAAGAAGAGTGCGTTCACAAGAACCTTCACTCCTTCAAGCTGCTGCTTGAAAGGGGATTTTTCTGTACTGAAATATAATTCTTAACTCATCCGTCACTTACTCACATACTCCTACGCATCTGTCATCTATCCATACTCATCTTTCATTTATCCATATCATATTCGTTTGTCATAAGAGTATAGGTACAATGAAGATTAGAAAATTTAGTAGTGAATCACAGATAATAACGTATGACGACAAGATCAGATTTCACATCAACAAATATCATGAGTTTGTTCACAAGAATTTTGGAAAGAGATGGATAGTAATTGAAATTGAATTAAAATGAACTCTCTTCAGTATGTTTTCATTGCCGTTGGGCATTATGAAATTTCCGAGATAATCATTTATAGTTTATCCAATGTCAATTGCAGAATATCCCGCACTGTGCGGCGTCGGCGTGTTTGAAGTTTTCTTTGAAGTGACTGCAGGTGCGGCACAAGATTCTGCAATTGTTTTTGGATGAACTATAACATCATTTCACACCATATAGTGGGTTTTCCACAACTGCACCCCAAAACTTTGTGTATGCATTGGCATTAATCATTAAATAGCAACAGAAATAAATAACAAAATCAGATATATTTTAAAAACATCAACTATTACACTTAATACTACATCATCTGAACAACCACAGAGTGGTTCTGGGCTGAATAGAATTCTTCCAGCCCTGTCAAATAGAGGGGAATAGCTTTGAGAATCTGAGAATTGGCATCATTGACATAAACTGACACATAATCCCCCTTTTCCATCATCCTCAATGACGTCCCATCTCTGAGTGGAACCGGCTCCTTTGCCGGTAATATGACTCTGATATTTTGGTCATTTCTACCTTGAAAATAGTCACATGATCTTTTACTGTAACCTTCAATTAAAACCAAATGGTTTTTTCCTATTTGAGACGTGTTCAATTTTAGAGCTTGTTGCCTATGCACTTGAATCATCCTCTGCAATCTGAAATTTAATGAAAGGTATAGGAGTTTAGAAGATGAGTGATCATATCAAAAGGGACCAAAGGTTAGACATTTCATATTGTAAAGTTGGTTACGAAGGTCATAGGTGATAGCAGGTTCAGCTATCGTTGAAAGAAAAAAATAATGTCTTCCCCATGTATATATATTAAATTCATTGTCCCCATCGGTCATCTGTCCTTGTCTTCAGTGTTTCAACATAAAAAATGAAAAGTTTCTGTTGCCAACACTGGAAATGAGAAGAAGTAGAGAAGATCATAACCTGTTTCCAATGTTACCAACATGAAATTTTCATTATTTTACGTTTGAACACTGAAGACAAAGGATAGATCGGGAAGACGGAAAGACATTTTTTTCTTTCAGGATGCTAGCTGAACTGCTCTTATCAATATTAAATAGGTGCCACTACTGCTACTCTCAAAACTATTGCATTTCTATAAGAGAAGAAATTGTTGAGTTGTTTCAAATTTTGAGAATTTGAGCAAAAATAAGTCCAAGACCATCCTTTTTGAATAAATTATCATTAACAGTGACAAATTACACTCAATTGAGCTCTTTTCTATCTCGAACGAGAGAGAGGAAAGTTCTCTCGTCTTCCATCTTTCTCTTCAATGCTACCAACGTCGCCGCATTGAAATATAGAGAAGTCCGATAAATCTTTCCTTGTCTAACCTGTAGTCTGCGCCACTGACCTATTTTCGATATTATAATGACGTGATATGTCTATGTCATGAATGTCATTGGCTGATGACATTTCGAATTTTCAAAATGAAATTCTGATTTATATCATACTTATTTTGACAAAATTTGTTAATATCGTTAAATTTGACACTCTGCTGAATTGGAAAATAGTTCAGCGGCACAAAGTAGATGTTAGACAAGGAAAGATTTATCGGACCTCTCTATATTTCAATGCGGCCACGTTGGTCAATGAACTGTATGTAGTTGTATTGAGTTCATTGACGTTGGTAGCATTGCAGAGAGAGATGGAAGAGGAGAGATTGGAGAGAACTTTCCTCTCTCTCATTCAAGATAGAAAAGACCTCAATCGTTGATTGAGGTACTAACCAATACCTCAATCAACGCCTCAATTCATTGTAATTGGTGCCTTGATTGCTGCCAACAGTGCCAACAAAAAGAACAAAATGTCTGACCCTTTCCAAGAGAAATGATATGGTCAGTTGCTTGTAACTGTAGACGCACCTGCTATGTTTAATGTCAGGTGGAACATCATCTTTGAACCTTCTATGAGCAGTAGTTTTTTCTCTCATACTGTAAGCAAACATGAATGCATTGTTGAATTGTACTTCATTCATGAGTGATATGGTATCCTCAAACTGTTCCTCAGTTTCTCCACAAAAGCCACAAATGAAATCAGAACTAAGCCCCACTTCTGGAATATAGTGTCTAACATTCTTAATCAAATCCAGATAAGCTTCCCTAGTATAACCCCTGCGCATTTTCTCAAGCACTGCTGAATTACCTGATTGAGCAGGCATGTGGAGATTCTTACAAATATTAGGATGAGAACGAATTGCCTACAAAAGAAATGTTTTACTCTTTCACAGAATTAGAATTTGTTGAACACTAACCTCTATAACTTCATCAGGAAAATCCTTAGGATGAGGTGAAGTAAATCTAATCCTCATTTCTGGATCAATGCTGGCCACTTTTTCCAGCAGATCTGCAAACCTCAGCCCCCCTTTTTTGAGCTTATACACAGTTTTGAATCCACTAGCCAAGCTGGTCACATTGTCAATTTTTGAATCCACAGAAATATCCCTATAACTATTCACATTTTGGCCTAACAGAGTAACTTCTTTGACCCCTTGTACTGACAAATGTTCAATTTCTTTGAGTATGGATGATACAGGTCTGGATCTTTCACGGCCCCTAGTGAATGGGACAATACAGTAAGTGCACATGTTGTCACATCCCCTCATAATAGAAACAAATGCAGACACTGAGTTTTCATTGAGACGGACTGGTGTGATGTCTGCATAAGTTTCATCTAGAGATAAGAGAACATTCACAGATTTCTGATTGTTATTTGTGACTGCCAGTAACCTTGGAAGATCTTTGTAGCTATCAGGTCCCACTACAAGATCAACTGAATCATTTTTATTTAGGACCTTATCCTTCAGTCTCTCAGCCATGCACCCTAAAATTCCTATTTTTAGCTTTGGGCGATCATTCTTTCTAGTCTTTCTAATGCCTTTCAGAGCATTTAGTCTTGACCAAATTTTTTCCTCTGCACTATCTCTTATAGCACATGTTACTATTAGAATTACATCTGCTTCTACTAAACTAGTTGTACGTTCATAATTGTTGTTTTTCAGAATAGACCAAATAATTTCTGTATCATTTACATTCATTTGACACCCATATATGTCAAAATACACCTTTCTACCAAGACCACTGATTTCATGTAAATAGGGTACAATGTCTGGAGGTGGCGGTTCATCATGAACATTCTGTTGCGATTCCTCCAGATTTTTATTGATAAAACTTCCTAAGGTCGGTCCAGACAGAATTTTTTCACTGAATTTCGATTTGTGCTTAGCATGAATATCATGTTGATGTTCAGTTGAAACTTCACGTTTTGGTGTTGCGAAGTATAATCCAGAAGGTAGCTGTTTTCGAAAATTATGTTTAAAGAAAATGTTGATCGTTCTTTGCATTTGTATCATGGGTCCTAAAAAAAATTGAAAAAAAATAGGTTTGAGTTTGACCCGTTTTATTTAAGGTTATACACTGACAGTTAATGTTAAATACTTCTTCTTCTGATTTTCTTGACCTCAGTTATTAAGCTTCTGAATTCATAAGCTATATAACCAACAATGCATCTAACTCCATTATTAGTTTCCGTTAGTGTTATGATGTGGATGTTGGATGTGGAAGATTAGGTGTGAGTCGTATAAAAAGCGAAGAGAATAATGTCAATAAAAGTAACCAAACTCTAAAATTTCTGAGACCTTCACGTTTTGAAGTTTTGATTGTATTCAACTATTCAGTATAATCAATTAAAATGCAGGAAACAAGATTGGTATTTCGTTCACTAATGACTCTTAGGCATTGGAGATCTATTTCAAGATGGTTGGTGATTATATCATTTGAAATTTGGTATATTTACCATACTACTTGAAACAATTTTTTTTAGCATACCTGTCTCTCAGTCAGCAGATCTTCAAACCAATCCTGTGGAAAAGTTAACTATTCCACCACCCAGTAACATAGAACCAGTCATATCACCAAAAATTGATAAACTAGCAACAGAAATTTCCCAATTGAATCTCATTGAGGTATCTGAGCTCAGTGACTTATTAAAACGGCGGCTCAACCTTCCTGATGCACCTGTTATGCCCATGGGAGGTTTCATGGGGTCCCCAGTCTCAAATGAAGAGGAGGAGGCTGCTCCAAAAGCAGTAAAATCATCTTTTACTGTTAAACTGATGAAATTTGATGAAAAACAGAAAGTAGCTCTAATAAAGGAAGTCAAGAATTTACTGGAAGGCTTCAACCTAGTCCAAGCCAAAAAGTTTGTAGAGAGTGCACCAACTATAGTTAAATCAGATATTTCCAAAGATGAAGCTGATAAACTGAAAGAGGCCATGGAAAAAGTAGGAGGAACCATAGAAATTGATTAGTTATATAATCACAATGACTGCAGTAGAATTATATTTGTATCCTTCAATGTTATGTTTACATTAATGAACACTTTTTTTCCAAGAAATATCTAAGGCATTTTTATTTCCTAACAAGCTGTTTTCCATTGTTCAAAAAAATTCCAATTTTATGTTGAAAAAGTGTATTCTTTGCACAGAGCCATAACTAGGGTAGATGGGGCCCATGGTGAACTTGTGAATTTGTGCCTCCTATAAAATGTAAGTGAATAATATTCAGAATGATATAAAAATAATTCTGAAATGAATTAAAAATGAAATAAGTAGACTGAAAGAAATAAGCTTTTATTCTAATGCTTTAAAAAAAAAGAAAATACAATTGTCGCAATGATCAATATATAATTGAAATGAAATTTCATTAGATACTATCATATTGAAGAGGAAAAATAAAAAATGACTATTCCGCCATCTTGGATGGTCCGCCATATTGAATTTAAAATGATGTCACATCATTTATTTTTCCAGTCACTCTCAACAAGCCTTTTCATTTGATACCCAATATCATAGAGAATTAAGTTGCATTAAAAATAACTAATCCGCCATCTTGATGGATGGTCCGCCATATTGGATTTATAATGACCTAAAAAATTGTTGTTGTTCTAAAATTGTTCTATCCGTCATTCGGTTGCCCCCTTACGAGCAACCCTCAGAAGTCTTCGAAAGACTTGTGCGAGCAAGGAATGACGGGCACTTTCATTTGATACGCATATTGTAGAAGTGCATTAAAAATATAACTATTCCGCCATCTTGGATGGTCCGCCATATGGGATTTAGAATAACTCAGAAGGATACATTTAAATAATCTGTTAATTTATTTATTATCATGTAAACAAGCAGTGCCGTATTATCCATGCATAAGGCAAACTAGGCACGTGCCTAGGGGGGCGAGATTACAAAAAAGGGCGCGTCATCCTCGAAAATGTGCGTTGGAAAACGGGAAACAATTTCGAACAACGCATAGACACATAAAAAACGCTTAAGAAGTGTTGCAAAAATTAATTTCCCGCGTCGACCTCGTATTAACGAGTAAGTTTAATGTTCATGAAATCGTTCATTAATGCCCCTATTGATGATCAATAATTTGTCTATTAATGCACGATTGTTTTATAGGCAACCAAACATACACCGCGTGCATTCATTGTTTATGCTATAACTTACGGAATCTGCATTTAAATCGGAAATATAGATTTCATCAAAGATTTTCCGTTAACGAGTTCCCCTTTCCAAGTTGCTGACACGATTTTTATCCCTCCCAGCGAGCACAAAAACATCTCAGAGATGTTAAAAGTACGAGATTTCGAGACATTGAACCTCCACTGCGATGTTCTGTTAACACATGAATAGAACTATTATAGAACAGCCAATGTCCGCCGCAGGCGGCAATTATCGAGATGTCCTTGATATGTCACAAAACTACCTTCTCCCCTAATAACACAAGATGTCCATTGGACATCCGTTTTGTGTCCATTATATGTCCAAGGTGTCCATGGACACATTCTGGACATCCATAGGATGTCCACAGGCAGCAATCCTATGGATGTCCAGGAAAAGTAATCCATATAGGTAGTGTCCATTTTATGCCCTTTCTGATAATGTTCCTCAACACAACGTCCAACTCATGTCCATAAGATAATGTCCAATGGACATCAATTTGCAGTAGTCCATACACAGTCCATAATATGATGTACATTGTTGCTTTTTCGTCTCGGGTATCATCGAGATCGTTCGGCTCCTTCGCTGGCGACAGCTGTGCACAGGGTTAGCCGGAGCCGTGTGATGTGAGATGCCGTCTGCCATTTTTGTTTTGTTGTTGAACATCGATGTACGGACAGAACGCCTGAGACTGATGATTTCATTCTCAAATTTAGCGTTTTGGTAATATCCATACAATCCATTCGAATTTTGTGTACTATTCATAATGACATATTATTGTTATAATCTGTTTCATAATATTTGTGTGTGAACGACGAGTGTTGTGTGATCCTATTTCATTCGATCGAAGAACACAAGAGTCAATTATTCATTCAAGTGCATGAAGGCCATTATTCCATTGCGGACGTGTTGATGAAGATGTCGAAGAATTTCAACATTAGAACTGTGGTCTGAAATTGAGTGCCTATCTATACATAATATTTAGTGCAAATTAATCTGAACTTGAGAAATTGGTTCAAATCGATTGTATCAACTGTATCAAACTGGAATGATGAAAGGAGTTACCATAAAAGCAATAACATATTACATTAATATTATATTTTATATTATGAAGATTATTTGTATAGTGTTCTTGAATATACCTACTCACATTTTCAAGTAATAATCAGAAACCGAGTCAGAAACATAGATTCCATTTATTGACCAGATCGTCCTATATAAATGTACATTTTATATACTAGATATCCAATGGATGTACAGTGATAATGTCCTATGGATGTACGGTATGGACATCCATTAGATGTCCGTTTGGGACTTCCTATGGATGTCCAAAAAGGTGGAAAGTGAATGTCCCATGAATGTCCATATGCAGTCCCGTGTACGCATTCTAGTTGTCCATTGGATATCCAGATTGTCCAGACGAGTCTGTCCAATGGATGTCCATTGGACTAACTTGTGTTATTAGGGTCCCTAGTTCTTTTTAAAGCCTTTTCATGGACACAACAGAACATTTTCAACGCGTCTTGCGCACATTAAATCGCTGTAAAAAAACCATTTTCGAGGTACTTTTCTGAACCCTTTTATCAAAATGAACTTTTGCATTAGGATTCCATTTCCCTTGAATGAAAAAATGCATTAAAAATAGATTGAACATAAAATATTTTCTTGATATGAAATTATCTTCTTAATCGGTTTCTGAATAGTGCTTACTACACATAGACATATAATTGGAAATAGGTTTCCCAATTTTTGAAATGTTCTCCACAATGCATAATTTTGCAACTGCGGAGAAGCTGTGTATTGATGAATTCGTACTTTTATATATTGATTACACTGAGGCACCGAACAACACATCTTGCATCTGATGGTCATTATTACAAACTAAATAAGTCTTCTAACACAATAAACTTCACCAAATTCCTTTCTGTTCGTTAGCAGCGTGATGTAAGCGTGACACGCTGCAAACGCGAATGCCAATTGCGAACAAGAAGAACAATATCGAAAACAAATCAGAATTCATCGTATTGTGACGTAAGCGTGGGACGTTGTGGTGGGGCAAACAAAGAAAGGGCACAAAAAAACAAAAACAATACTTTCAATATCCTTCTAAGACCTCTTTGGGAAATGCATATTACGCCTCAAAAAAAACATCCTCATGCCTACATTTCTAAAACATCCTAGGGATACCTCTCAGTAGGCAAACAAAGAAATGCCACAGAAGAACAAAAACAATACTTCAATATCCTTCAAGGACCTCTTTGGTCAGTGCATATTACGTCTCAAAATAACATCTTCATGCCAACATTTTCAAAACATCCCAAAACATCCCAGGTCCCAGGGATGTTTGGAATTTATTTTCTATGTTTATTATTTCGACAATTGTCACAAATGTCAGTAACAAGGCTACTGGGTGATTCTTAGCACTTTCCGGATGAATGATGAATTCGCCGAATTCGCGAACCAAGTTTTCTTCATTGCAGGAGAAATGAGAAATAATATAGACGACAAAACAATGTTGTAACTAACTCGTATATTAAAAGGTGATTAATGATCTCGAACATTAACGCGCTCGCTTCGCTCGCACGTTAAAATATCTCGATCATTAATCGCCCTCATTAATACACTAGTTGGTTAAATAACTATTAAGTCCCTAACGACACAGTGGAGTAAATAAATGCCAATAATTCAATATTAATCCACTCGTCCATTATCTAGAAAATTCAGAACATCGTGATATCAACAAATTGTCGCCAATATAAAAAGAAATTACAAAAACATTTGTACCTATCATGTTTTATTCGGATGATAGTGGATTTTTTCGACTCACAAATGTGGGTTCAATGTTTAGCTGTCAATCGGAGATTACAAAATCAATCATTGATTGATCCTTGATTCGAATCTTTGATTATAATTCGCCCGGCATCGATTTCTACATTACCTAATCATTTGCGATAAATATTGATTGAAGAATTATAATGATGATATATCTTGAAGAATTAATGAATTACCTACCTAATTGAACATTGAAACGATATAGGTGTCATTATTTTCCAAAGTAGGTGTAAATCATATACTACAGTGAGTCTCAAATTGTTCATTATTATTGACCAGCTGTCCCGCCCGGTTTCGCACGGTTGGTGTAACCATTTAAAAAAATCAGAAAAAGATACGTACGGAAGGATAATTCTTATAACCCGTTGTCCTGTTACCCCTTTTCCGTGGGAATGAAGCATTTTTCCGAGGTGAAAAGTAGCCTTCATCGGGATAGGCGAGTGGACTACTTTTTCTCATTTTTTTTCGAATAGAATCATCACTCAAATTTCAGGTGCTCATATCATTTTACAGTGATAATAATCATGGAACATATTTCCCTGTTTGCACTGTTATTAACTATACTTTTTGTATGTCTACTTTTTTCATTTCCATAACTATGATACTTTGTATTGGCTGATGATGGGCTTATATGAGCCCGAAACATGTTCCTTTACGATTGATCTTTGATCATTCTAAAAAATGTTGTGGAAATGACTTATTTGGGTTTTCATCTATGAAATACACTACTCCACATTTGAGTTACCATGGACTTCTTCCAAAGATTACACACTGTATACAGTGTGTCCCACTTACCATGCTCACCATGGGTATCTTTTTAACGGTGAGAGATACGAGGTCGGTTAAATTACACAAAATGTGGAGTTTGTCAAGGCCAACTATAATGTGAAAAAATATTTTGAAAAAATCTATTCGTTTTTGTTTTATACGCAAAAAACAGATTTTGATCATTTTCATGTCTCCTCCGTTACTTCTTCATTTATAAAAATATTCAAATAGGAATTTCACATTCTCATGGCAGTTTTTCAAAGTGATTTCGAAAAACTATGAAATTTATACCAACTCTTCTAGAATTTGAGATATCAGCACCAACTTTAGTTTTTCAAATGTAGGTCATAGCTCACTATGACTTAGTTACAAATAACTTTTTTTTCTCTCACAGATGATATGTCGCAGTAATAGTTTTGTGTTGATAACAACGGAGTTATCGTCATTTATACAAGAACAAAAAATTATTTGGGAGCCGCCATCTTGAATTTATGAATTACAACAAAAAAATCATGATCTCCGACCTCAAAAACCCCCACTTACCAATTTTGAATGGAATCGGACCAAATCTTGTCCGCCATCTTGGAGCAGCCATTTTTTTTAAATTTCAACAAAAATTCCATAATGTATTGTCACCGAAATTATGAACACCTGCCAAATTTCAAGGTAATCGGAGTTATGGAATCATAAATAAAGAAGTTACGGAGGAGACATGAAAATGATCAAAATCTGTTTCTTGCGTATAAAACAAAAACGAATAGATTTTCTCAAAATATTTTTTCACATTATAGTTGGCCTTGACAAACTCCACAGTTGGTGTCATTTAACCGACCTCGTATCTCTCACCGTAAGTGGGACACACAGTATACAGTGTGTAGTCTTTGGAAGAAGTCCATGAGTAACAGAAACAACTAACAAGAGAAATATATTCTCTATCTACTGATTATTATAGTAAATATAGCTACTGTGAACTTACAGTTTGACGCATTATGTATAAGGTTCATTGCGGAAGCCAGCAGGCCCATAAGGTGTTTGGTCTCTAGGTTTCAGGCACTTCTAGGAAATGAGCCAAAAATACTTCTTCTTCATTCGATATTTTCATTTCTTTATTGTTGCACCATTCAATAAAACGCGCGCGTATATAGCTTCTCATACCTTTGGCAATAACGCATCTGTATCGCATCCCTATAGCTGGAAGTTTTTGATCACATTGTGCATGGCAATTCCACTGAATCGAAAATGACAGTAACGCTGTCTCCGTCACTTCGACAATTATCACAAACTCATTTGAGGTTTGATTGGCATGACAACAATAATCGTTTCTCATCAGATCAATCCAAATTTATAGGGGGATTTTCATAATTATCAATTTTTATTTTTCAATATTTCTTAATTTTCACAAGGAATAGTGCAATTTGATGGATGATTCTGCACATACATGCATACTTAATACTGCAACAAACAAACTCAAACTCTCATATTCCAAAACCTACCACGTATATTTTGCCGTATTATCATATCTTTGTTTTTCCCGCAATGTTGCGGGAAAATGACACTTCCCAAACTGAATTGCGTGCGGGTATAGGGTGAATCACGCACGCTTGTAGAAAAATGTATTATCTTACACATCGGTTGTAAGTAAAGCAGTTCATGACCAATAATAACATTATATACACCATATACTAAAGCGTTTACACTTTCCATTTTTTGTTGGTTCGATTTCAGTTTCTACTGGGTATCTCTTTAAATATTTTTTATGAACGCGAATGTGATTACGGCAGTTGATATTGTTTGAAAGTTTGTTAAATATTATACTGATGCGATGTTTGACACAGGTTGGATATTATGATTTGAACATTAGGGACATTTTGAAAATAATGTAGATTATTTATTTATAGATTTGTAGATAAGACACTGTATATAAGTATTTCCGTAAGATATAATTATATTGATAATTGCAGCCCTTCACCCTGTATATACTGCTACTAATGCTTAAATTAAGATATCGATATGGGTAATTGCTTAGAGGCCATCATCAGGTCATATCTAATCATAATAAACGGCTTGATTTTTTTTCTGTTTTTTAGTTCTTATTAATAAAATCGTTAGAATGAGTGGATTTTTACAAAAAATTCGAAATGTCTTGACATTCGGAGCTTGACATATTAATGGTACAGTGATTTTTTTAAATCTATTTGGATTACACGAAAGGTAATTCCTATTATCTTCATGGAACATCGTGTGTACCTGGGATGGATATAGGAAGAGAAGGTACAAGAATTGAATTTTCATAAGTAATATTATGATGTTCTGAATATTCTGATAATTATGTCGCTTATTCATTGTTCACGAAATCGATGTGTTGTCGAGAAAAAAACGGTAACACAATTGAGTTAACAATGAAAGACATAATTATGAGAAGATATTCAGAACGGAGTGGTATTTTGCTAGACTATTTCACGTTCACGAAGCATAAAAAGCATTTATTATAAATAAGCGGTTCATTCTGACAATTACAGCTGAAATTATTTTATGCCAAACTGACAGACTTTGCTTCGTTATACATCCATGGTTACATCGTTGAAAATACAACGCTGATAGTTCAATCAGAATTGAATGTCAGCTAGTGTTTTCGCGATAACACAAGTTGTCTGTGGCTTGTGATTGGTCAGATTATGTGATGAATGAAATAGTTTTATGAATTTTGAGATTATAAAAACTTACGAATGCACCCTTATAAAATCTACAGTTTTCAATTCCAACCGATTCAATGTTTTTTTTTGTTTCGCAGAGAGGGTATCAAGAGGTCCACGTTCACACAAATTCGTAAAATATAATTCCAATTTTCAGGACACTGTTTTTATTACGTGTTGAAAATGATGAAATATCTACGAAGCCCTGGAAGGGACACATAAAATAAAAAAAATAAAACTCTCCTAAATTATGAGTTATAACTCGCAATTTTAAAATTCTGACTTATATCTCGGAATTTTTTATTCAAAATTCCGAGTTATAACTCAGAATTTTGAAATTCCGTGTTATAACTCGGAATTTCACATCCAATATTCCGAGTTATAACTCAGAATTTTAAAATTCCGAGATATAAGTCGAAATTTTGATGTAAAATTCCGAGTTATAGGTAAGTCGAAATTTTACATCCAAAGTTCCGAGTTATAACTGGGAATTTTGAAATTCCGAGCAATAAGTCGGAACATTGATGTAAAATTCCGAGTTATAACACGAGATTTTAAAATTCTGTGTTATAATACGGAATTTTGAATAAAAAATTCCAAGATATATACACTTAAAGAAAAAAATTGATCAACGTGATCTGAGACTGTGTTATTATTCACTTGTCTACTTGTTTTTTTCCTGACCCATAACAGGTTTGTTCTATTCTGACACCATATACATGTTTTCCTTAATATTCGATCATAATGTATTCTAGGTCTTATTTAGTCTGATGATGGCCGTTATGCCGAAACTGGTCACATTCTAATGTAATTTTTGATATTGAGTGTGGTCGACTGACTTGGAGTTTTTTCTTTCATTTATGAATTCTGTGGGGCAACTTTGAGAATGGATGATTTTCATAGTTTAGCTTTTGATACTCTTTCTATTGAAACAGAAAAAATCGAATGAAAACTGTATAGATTTTATAAAGGTGCTGCGGTCTTAAAAGTGTTTCACACTGTATATGCATGGATTGAGCAGTTTGATAGACGAAAAAAACATGATAAGATATTATAGCAAGGCTGATGTGCTGTGAAAAACTTCATATTATACAGGGTGAATCCAAATAACCGAAAAAAATCAAGGAAATAAAGTTCATAACATGAACATGTGCCCTAACTTGCTTCGTTTTCGAGACACAGGGTATCAATATACAGGGTGTCTGTAAAAGGTCTTTACAAAAACATACTACATATTCCTTAGACCAAAATAAGTCGATTTAAGTAAAATTACCATAGTACAAAGTTGCATCGTTTGGGCTCCACAGGGCCTTGAAGTTACAATTTTTAAATCGTTTTTTCCATATAAATTTGAAACGGCATATGCGATTTTGCTGAAATTTGGTATATTGATAGAGTTTTATGTGGCAAGAAGAATGGTGTTAAAATTTTGTCCGATAATAATGCATAGGCGTAGAACTTTGGAAAATAAATATCAGGTTGACGCTATTTATACTGATTTTTCTAAGGCATTTGACAGAGTAGATCATTCCATTCTTTTGTCTAAACTAGGAGCTTTTGGATTCTCTGATTGGTTTTTGAAATGGTTGAAAAGCTTCCTAACAGGCCGTAGACAGTGTGTTCGAGTTGGCTCGTTCAGATCCAGTCATATACAGGTTTCATCAGGAGTACCTCAAGGTTCTCATTGTGCTCCCATTTCGTTCAACATTTTTGTGAATGATATCAGTAGATGTTTCGTGAACTGCGAGTTTCTATTATTTGCTGACGATTTGAAATTATTTCGAACAATAAATTCAAAATTTGACCAAATCAATTTACAAGAAGATTTAAACAGATTGAATAATTGGTGTTTGGAAAATAATCTGCATCTAAATATCAATAAATGTTGTTTCATTAGCTTTTTCAAGGGTTATAAGAAGTTTGATACTGTATATAGTATAAACAATAGTCCTCTCAGATACGTTCCAACTGTTCTAGATCTAGGGGTCACTTTTGATGAACAAATGAGATTTGTAAATCACATAAACACCATTTCAGTGAAATCATCAAAGATTTTAGGAATGATTATTCGTAATTGCTCTGAATTCTCAGTGGATTCTATAAGGAAGGTCTATTTGTCATTGGTCATTTCTAAACTGACTTATGCATCTATTGTCTGGTCTCCTCTTTATCAGGTTCATAATATAGCCATGGAGAGGGTACAGAACAAATTTCTGAGGTATTGTGCCTTTAAATTGAACATTCGTTGGAAAAACCATCAATATATGCATATTATGAACGAAATTAACTTAATTTCATTGCGTAGAAGAAAACTCAAGTTAGATTTATGTTTTATCTTCAAATTATTGAATGGTGCTGTGAACTGTCCGGAACTACTGGAGTTAATTACGTTTAATGTCCCAAATAGAGTCCTTAGATTTCCATATTTATTTCAAATAACATTTCATGTCACAAATTATGGACAGCATAATCCAATAGAAAGGACATTAAGATTCATAAATAAAAATAATTTAGATGTATTAGGATGTTCATTTAATAAGTTTAAGATGTCTTTGCGTGATTGCTTATAGCCTATTGTTTCGTTTCATGTTTTTATTCTTCTCTTTTCCTTATCGAAATTGTTAAGTGAGTACCTATGTGTTGAGACATGGTGTATATTAATTATATTCATTATATTCTTATATTCATACTGTATTCAAACTTGTAATGGGGGTTTCCCGTAAATAAATAAATGAAATAAATGAAATAAATGAAACTTGATTTTTCAAATAATTGCACCTTTAAAAATTCTACGCCAATGGAAGAAAAGGAGTTTCAGTATGAAATTTAGATTGCACAACTCATTTACCTTAAAAAAGGTACTCTTGATAAGACTCGATTGATTTCATGGTTTTGACGAAATTTGCATTTTAGTAATTTTAGAACATAAACAATAATTATTAAAATACAAACTTTGTCAAAACCATGAGAGTAAATCGAGTGTTATCAAGGGAACTTTTTTTTAGTAATTGAGTACCCAATCAAAATTTCATACTCAAACCCTTTTTCTGCCATTGGCGTAGAACTTGATTTTTCAAATAATTGCACCTCTAAAAATTCTACGCCAATGGCAAAAAATGGGTTTGAGTATGAAATTTTGATTGGGTACTCAATTACTAGAAAAAAGTACCCTTGATAACACTCGATTTACTGTCATGGTTTTGACAAAGTTTGTATTTTAATAATTATTGTTTATGTTCTGAAATTACTAAAATGCAAATTTCGTCAAAACCATGAGAGCAATCGAGTCTTATCAAGTGTACCTTTTTTAAAGTAAATGAGTTGCGCAATCTAAATTTCATACTCAAACTCCTTTTCTTCCATTGGCGTAGAATTTTTAAAGGTGCAATAATTAAAAAAATCAAGTTCTACGCCGCTGTATTATTATCGGACAAAATTTTGACACCATTTTTTTTTTCGAAATAAAACTATCAATATACCAAATTTCAGCAGAATGCAGAATCCAATATGCCGTTTTGAATTTATATGGGAAAAACGATTTAATAATTGTAACTTCAAGGCCCTCTGGAGCCCAAACGATGCAACTTTGTACCAAGGTAAACACCCTGTATTTCCATGAAAATTCCTTTTTATTCATTACTCAATTGTCTTTCCATCAATTTCAATGAAACGTTGTGGTTCTATTGATAGTAATATGGAGCTTCTTCTGGTGGAATTAAATTCGAAATAATATTTCCAGTGGCGTCACAATGGGTAGATTTAACGATATTTATGGTGAATGTCATTCAGGTTCATATTTTTAATCGATTGAACAATTGAAATAACGACCGTTTTATCCTATGTATGATTTTAGTATCCAGCTTAGCTTTTGAGGAAACAATAAGAATTGGATTTGACTCCAAATTTTAATGTTGATGTTTTCAAGACTTCCATTGAGATTACTCAATAACCCCAATTACAATCATTTCGAAATTTTAGGGCTTCCTCAGTCTCCAACCATACTGAATTTTGGCACCAAGAAAGCTTATACAGGGGGGTTATAATTAAAAACAATTAATACTTCCAACTTCAACATCCTGTGTATCTCAAAAACGGAACAAGTGAGGATACATAATTATATAAACTTCATTTGCTACACCATGTATAAGAAGGTATACCTACTGTATCATATGAATGCCGATTCAAAAGCACAATTTCTGGTACCTACTTGTAGATCATCAAATCCACCATGAGTCGCCCTGTATAGGTATCGGAGAAAGTTGCATGCAAGTCTGAAGAACTAATTGGAATACAAATTAACCCATGTATTATCATCTTTAATTCGTTCCATATTTCCAAGAGTTCAATGTCATTTCCCATGATTTTGTTGTGGATATAAACATTATTTTTATCTTGTTTTCTTCTTAACGTTTTACTTCGAATGTCTCTGTATCAACAGACATCACTAAAGCGGCGTTCACAAACAAACTTTTTACGTTTTGCTTTTTACGTTTCGTATTCTGATTGGTGAAGCAGAATATGAAATCTGAAATTGAACGTGAATTAAACTTAGGCAAATGTCATTCAAACAAAGAGAAA